ATAGGCTTCTGAACTAGCGCCAAGTAAAGTTCAAGGGTCTACGCGACGTGCTTTATTTCATAGCTGCTAGCTGCTGATTAGAAACACATTATCTAATAGATCTAGGTCTAGGCCTAGACTAGTCCAATTATGATTCATATTTATGTCCCAAGTCGTGACACAAACGTTACTAACTCCAAGGAGCTCCGACCCCGAAGGCTAGGCGTCCGCGTCGGACGCCTTCCGCATCGGCGTCGGAGCTCCCTGGAGTTAAAACGTTACATGTATCTAAACGTGTGGGACTAAAATAAAGCTCTCGGCCACAGTCCTTCATGAGCGCCAACAACAATGCTTCAAAGTTTCCATATAAATGTACCATCAACAGTTTCACTCATCATATAAGTAAGGTAATAATATTCTTCTCACGTTTTCCCATGGTTGAGCTTATATCGCAATGCAATATAAAGGATGTGACACCAATGAATATACCCGTCGTCTGTCTCACAAAGAGGGGCACGTAAAATTCAAAGTTAAATGGACCGATTTAGCTTTGCGATTGGTCAATATTGTTAGCCTCTTCCAAGTCGTGTTTGGTCCATTTATTCTTGAGCCACTATGATATGGTTATACTGTAGATGAATTCCGATCAAATGAAAAGCCTTACATTAAAAGTTTAGGTATGTATTTATCGTAATAACATTTGATGAAAGCAATGTGGGGGGGGGGGGGATTTATTGAAATTATACATAGGCCTACTACGTATACTATAAATATAGGGGGTCATGATTCAGGCCCCCATAGAAGACCACTACTTGTTGGTGAATGGGCTACCCTGACAAAAGATTAGAATAAATAAATCAATCAATCTTGGAGTCGGACCCTTGATTTTTTTTTTCAACTGAAAGGAAAGAGTGGGGGGGGGGGGGTCAAATTTAGAGAAATTAATCATAGACAAACACACACAACTCTTGCATCGGTGTCCTTTTCTCTCTCTCTCTCTCTCTCTTTTTTTTGGGGGGGGGGGCATACGCCCTCGTAATAAATAGGCTAATGGCGACGACACAACAAAGGCAAGTAAATACAAAGATGGCGTATGAAAAGACAATGTCATTTTTATCAAGGACATCGAAGAAATAGCTAGATGTACGTAAACAATAAGAAGACATTTGAGTTAAGGAGGCCTAATTGTGGGATTTCCATTTCTTTTTTGTAAAAAAAAACTAAGCCATTCTTTGACTTTTAAGTTCTATAGTTTCAAGTTTCAAGTTTCAAGTTTCAAGTTTATTTATCTTTCTTTCATAACACACATTACAAATATGACATGAATATAAAAGAGTGAACAGAATATGGCGTTACAATAGAAAGATGAGGTGACCTTGGTTGAAAGCAAGGCTTGTGGATTTAAGGTCCCTCATGACTAGTTCATGAGTATGTCCTAAAAGAACAAACTCGTCAGATAAGAATAATGTGTACATTTAAATGCTTACAAAACTAAACTAACTAAACTAACTAAACAACTAATAAAATATTAAACATAAATAAGTACAATAAAATCTACTAAGTACTAAATAATGGCTATAAACAACTGGAACAGGAATATACTACGAGTAACAGGAATAAAATACAGACAAAAACTAAACAAGACAGACAGATGAATGGATGTTAGAAACGGGAGTAGAATTAGCTGACCTATATAGCAAATAATTTTCTTAAATATTGATCACAACTATAAATCTAGATGATATCACTATAAGACGCGATCATAACTACTTTTGAAAAAATCAGATCAGATTCATTTTCAATATGCATGGTATATCCTGAAATCATTTTGTCATTACGTAATACGTCTTTGTTAATGGTCGCGCACACAAAGGTGACGTACATGTACAAGGCCATGACGCCATGTAGATTGCTTAAAGGTGACGTACATGTACAAGGCCATGTAGATTGCTTAAAGGTTGAATTTCTTCGAAAGTAGTTGCGATTGTACGTGTCACATGTACAAACTGAACATTACTTTCAGTACGGTACTATAATTTTACATGTAGGCCTATGTAGAACCTACAAACCAACGTTATAACAGGTCGAATAAATAAACACAGATCCTGGGGTAAGAGGAATCCCCCCCCCCCCCTCGGCCTAATTTCCTTTTTTTCCCTCCAATCCGTGACAAAGTTCCTTCCCCCCCCCCACCAACACTCCCTCTTTATGACAGTGAAAAATCGTTTACAATCTTCATTAGGTATATTGCACACTTCATTTTAAGAATGATCATTTCAACTGCAATGTAAAGTTTGCAGATCTTTTTTTTTATCAACTTGTGGATCGAGGAGAAAGGGAACACAATGTTCACATTCCCATTTGAGAAGAAATAAAATTTCATGAAAACTCTCATTTCTCGTGGTAAAAGATGTAAATATCTAAAATCACACTTTCCATTTTCAGCCTCGAGAAAGAAGGCTGGATTCCCCCAAAACGCAAGAGTATTTTCCGGAACGTTTTCCTCTCCCAATATTTCGGCCAACACAATTAAATCAAATTTATATTCATCATGATTACAAATAAAAAAAAAAGTTCTTGGAAAACGTTAACAAAGGCAGGACAATTATAGTTAGTAAACCTGTATGTTTAAAACCTACCTGCTTCTACACAGATCAAATTCAGTTGGCCATGAGGCATTCCAATTTTTAAAATAATTTTCCCCAATAACCACATAAAAACTAATGACGATTTCTTATCCCAAAATGAACTAGATGGAACTTCGACTGCGCGCAGTCGAAATGATGCCTCCGTCATGCATAAAGCAATTTTACAAACCAAAACAGAAGAAATTGTTCAAATTCAAGTTCAATTGTAATCCATTAACAGGTTCTCAGAATATCGTGATTACAAGCAATTTCTCATATACATATATGACCCTTTGATCTTTGACCACATGACCCTAACATCTACTCAATTCATTGGCTCTGCAAGATGTCCCGAGTTAAATAGTAATCCATCTGTCAGTTCTAATGAGAATGCGTTCACAAGCTATTTTTGCATACATAATGAGCCCATGACCTTTGACCTTTGACCTCATGACCCAAGAATCTACTCAGTTCATTGGCTCTGCAAGATACATACATGATCTAAGTTTGGGAGGAATCCATCAATCTGTTCTAATGATAATGCGATCACAAGCTATGTTTGCATGCATAATGAGCCGCATGACCTTTGACCTTGACCTCATGACCCCAAAATTTAATCAGTTCATCGGCTCTGCAAGTAACATACATGACTTAAGTTTGGCAGGAATCCATCAATCGGTTCTTGAGATAACGCGATCACGAGCTGTTTCAGCATACATAATGAGCCCTATGACCTTTGACCTTTGACCTCGTGACCCCAAAATCTAATCAGTTCATCGTGTCTGCAAGATACATACATGACCTAAGTTTGGCAGGAATCCATCATTCGGTTCTTCAGATAACGCGATCACGAGCTGTTTTTGCATACATAATGAGCCCTATGACCTTTGACCTTTGACCTCGTGACCCCAAAATCTAATCAGTTCATCGTCTCTGCAAGATACATACATGACCTAAGTTTGGCAGGAATCCATCAATCGGTTCTTCAGATAACGCGATCACGAGCTGTTTTTGCATACATAATGAGCCCTGTGACCTTTGACCTTTGACCTCGTGACCCCAAAATCTAATCAGTTCATCGGCTCTGCAAGATACATACATGACCAAAGTTTGGCAGGAATCCATCAATCGGTTCTTCAGATAACGCGATCACGAGAACGGGACGTACGGACGTACGTACAGACGTACGGACGGACGGACAACCCGAAAACATAATGCCTCCGGCTACTTCGTAACGGAGGCATAAAAATCCTGTTGATTTTTGCATTCAATCATAATTATATTTATACAATGATAATAATCATAGACTGACAGAACACTCCATAGCGCATTGTAGAGAAAAATCAAGGTGATAAATAAATGATTATTTAAAGATATTTTCATATTGATTACTAGTTTAACGATGCATTAATGCATAACTGCAAGAATATACAACAATAAACAGTACGCCATCAGTTCATAATTGTTTAGTGTAGTACTCTGTACGACGCAGAGAAAAAATTAAAGCTTTCAGTGCACATCTGGCAATCTTAAATATACATGTGCAAATCGACGTATTGCTGCAATACAATCTGTCTTAAAATCTATGATTTTATTCGCAATCATCAAAATTAGTTATATTTTACATATTGCATATCCATTCCCTAGCCAAGACATGTTTGACACCATTTGATGTTATTACATCAAATTTAATCAAATCCTTCGCTACCATCTAATAACCAGATCTACTGGGAAAATGCAATAATATAGTCTGTTTGTTTTCTGGTTAACATCTGCTTGTTGCTTACCTCAATGTCATGAACTAGCTGGTTGTATTCAATACATGTATTATGCCAGTGTGTTATGCTGTGCCAAAGTACTAGAAATATAAGTATTCCCAAGTGAATGAGCATCTTCAATTGTAAAGGCAACCAGAACGTGTCTAACTTTGTCTTTATCTTTTTCTTATCCTCATCATCCTCATAGTCGCCTTTTTTGTTGCCTTCCTTACATGTTTATATTGTGATAGCGAAGCGCACTCAGCAATGATTGAGGAAACTAACAACAAAACTTAATATTTAAATAACTACCATATCCTCAATCTCAGACTACTTGAATGGATAGTTATTTGAATGTCATGATTCAAAATGCATAAAACTACACAATATACACCATTTTGAAAACAAAAATCAACTGAATGTACTAAATAATAGAAAGTCGAATTATGTACAAAACTATATACAACTGTTATAGAGGTGGATCGTGTTCTTTATGTACGATGCAGAAGATAACATGCTTTTTAAAAAAATTTATATTCCATTCTTTCTTTATATCGTATGTTGTCGCAGCTCAGTCACACAAACAACTACAGATCAATAAAAATTTGCAATTACATTATTTTCAATGGCCCAAAAAAGGTCAGTTTGTCGGTGTCACCGAATTCAGTGCCCCCGCGTATGACAGATACGATTGCATACAATTTAATGACTTTTTCTTTATTCATTGACCCAACATTACAATTCATTAATCAGTTTTTAATTATTTTTCTTTGACATCGATATTAGATACTAGATTTTTAATATGTCAATGTCCGGATACGGGACTGTTGAACTCTCTACGACAGCTAGTCAAAGGTTTAGTCTGGTATTTTATGAAATCCGTGCCCTTTCATCTCTATTAGCTTCATGAGTCGTTCTTTGAGATGCTCTCTTTTCCTGTACATCGGGAGATGAAGCACGATGAAACCATGACATGTATTCACTTCAGGGCACATGTCCTTTGGGGGTTTCCCCTTACAATCTTTGTCTCCTCCCATGGGCCACATCCTAGGTCTAACCTCCTGGATTCCACCAATCGGGACATGGTCAGCACCCGTCATGACTCCTGAAAAAAAAACATTTGCATAGAAGATGAATAATCGGTAATTGTCCATTTTTTTTTATTAAGGCTCATAAATCAGAAAGTTTCTTACTCGGAAGGTTGACAATTCGGAAGGTTCGTATTTCGGAAAATGAAATAGGGCTCATAATTTCCATGAATTTAAACGTTTCTAATTCCGAAAATGACATAGAACCTTGTATAATTTGTTAAGAATTATGAACTTTCGGAGAATGAACCCTATTTGGTATGGGAATTTTTTTCTTCTGCTGAATTTCAAACCTTTTATTACTTTTGGAAAAAAAGGGTGCCTTCCGACATAATCAAAGGTAGTTGGTGGATCATGAAAGCAATGTGCCCTGAAACATGGTGACTTTAATGATTTAGACATTAAGTTTTTACTTGAAAATAATAAGTTTAAACAAATTGTTACACAACCAACTCGAGGGTCTAATATTCTTGACATGATTGTAACCACTATTGCTTTATTGTATAAAGAAGTGGAAATATTGCCGCCTATTGGTATGAGTGACCACAACTGCATACTTTGGCTACCCAAAGATAAGATAAATCGCAGTAACCGAGTAAAGAAAAAGCTTGTTCTCCCTATTCCGGATAGTGGAAAAAGGTCATTTGGTAGTTGGTTAACTCAGTATACTTGGGATGAGATGTTCAGTGTAAAAGACCCATCTATGAAATGTAAAATGTTTTTAGATGCAATTCAGTCTCAGTTGGATATACATGTTCCTACTAAGGAGATTCGTTTGCATTGTAGAGATAAGCCTTGGATAAATGCTGAAGTTAAAGATGTTATCCGCCAAAGACAGCAAGCTTTTAATAACAAATCAAAAAGTTTGTGGCATCATCTAAGAAACAAGGTTAAACGGTTGATAGAGTTCGCAACTTAAAAAGTGACAGCCCTGCAGCTTGGTATAAGCAGATTCGGATTTTAACAAATACTGAAAAGAAACATACTCCAATTGTAGTACCAAATATTGACCCGAATGACCCCGACAAATTCAAATATATTGCTAATTATATAAACGAGCATTTTTAGCGGTGGCATCCGATCTTCCAGGTCTTAGTAGGAATGATTTACCTGCTTACTTACCAGCTCAGGAAACATGTCCGATTGTGCGGCCTTATGAAGTTTTTAAACAATTGAGTTCGTTAAACCAACAAAAGTCTGTTATAAGTGGAGACTTACCAGTGCGAATTCTTAGAGAGTTTGCACTGGAATTTTGTACACCTCTTACTGATATCTTAAACACTTCTTTCCAGTCGTCAGTGGTACCATATCAGTGGAAACGATGTGAGATCACGCCAATTCCGAAATGTAAGCCTGTAATACCTCAGAATTTAAGACCTATAGCACTAACTAGTTATTTTGCGAAAATAGCTGAGTCTTATATATGTAAATGGTTACTCGAAGACATTTCAATTCAAATTGATATTAATCAATACGGAAACCGTCAAGGTCTGTCAACTAATCATTACTTAATTCGTTTGCTTCACCAGATTTATAAAAATGCAGAAAATTCTCGGTCCATATCTACACTTATACTTACAGACTTTTCAAAAGCTTTTGATCGTATAGACCATAATATACTTGCCAATAAGTTAATCCACCTTCATGTTCGGCCTTGTATTATTTCATGGATCTTAGATTTTATTGAACACCGTCAACAACGTGTGAAATATCTTGGTCATTTTTCAGACTGGTCAACGTCTCATGCCGGTGTAGCACAGGGTACAAAATTAGGACCAATTATTTTCCTAATAATGATAAATGATGCTTGTTTTAACTCAGAAGTACCATACTTCAAGTAATGTAGACGATCTGACATTAGTTGAAAGTCGTACATTATCACAACCATCTAAATTACCAAATACTTTATCTGATTTTTATCAATGGTCTCTTCGTAATAACATGACTCTTAATCCATCGAAATGTCATTGTATGTTTATCTCTTTTTCTAAGAATATAGCTGATCAGAGACCTTTGTTTATTGGGGATGAGTGCTTAAACAGTGTACAAAAAGCAAAAATTTTAGGAATAACTGTGCAGTCCGATTTGAAATGGGACAGTCATATCTCAGACCTTTTATGCCGTGCTAATAAAAAACTTTTCATGCTTCGTATTCTCAAAACATACAGATTGCCATTCTGTGATCTAGTAACAATTTACAAGGGATATATTCGCCCAATATTGGATTATGGAGTACCTGTTTTTAACGGAAACCTCACCCAAAGTCATATCTTAAGTTTGGAACGAATCCAGAAAAGAGCATGTAGGACCATACTAGGTGACCAATATATTAATTATGACAAAGCTCTTGAAGTGTGTTCTTTGCAGACCCTATCAGATAGACGCAAACAATTATGCACTAATTTTGCTTCATCTCTTGTCAACAACCCACTTTGTAAACATTGGTTACCTGTTAACAATAATGTAGATTATTCACTGCGAAGAAGGACCAAGTATCGTCAATTTCATTGTAAAACGAACCGCTATAGAAATAGCTCAATTCCATACCTAATAGACCTGTTGAATGCATGAATGAATCTTAATTGTCTACCTGTTGAATGGTCCGGTGTCTCATTGTCTGCATACATTTTTTACATTTTTATATTTTACATTCCGCATTTTAAATTTTAAATTCTATGCTTTCATAATTACTTGTAACATCTTTTTAAAATGTACATTGAATAGTGATAAGGTTTTGTAGCAATCATGACATGGCAATTCTGATCAAATGGTGTTCAAGTTTTTAATTCATTTGCTTATTTATCCCCAATGTACGAAAGTCGGGAAGGAGCTTACTTGTCTTGTTGTTTTTATTTTTTTGAAATACCCGACACTCCTTGACACAAGAGAGGTCCAAGGATGAGCGAGCAGACCGTTAGCTAGTGTATGGGAGTGTGAATGGGAGTGTGTATAAAAGTGTAGATGTGAGTGTTTATGAGAGTGTCCAAGGTACAGGAGTGAGCATAGGAGCGTGTATAGGAATGAGAGCGTGTAAGAGCAAAGGGCCTGCTTGCTCATCCTTTGACCTACTCTTGTGTCACCTCACAAAATATATTTTAAACGTGAATTAATTTGCCTGTTATTGCCTTAGTCATATTAGTTATGAACTTTATTATGAATTTTGTTTTACTGTATATTATACTTTGTGACAATGTCAACCACATTTGTATGTATTATAATTCATTGCCAATGTAAATTGTTCATAATTCAGCCATCTGGCTAGCTGCGAAGTGCAATCAATAAAACCTTTTCAATCTCAATGAAACATGCAGAGCGAAAGACATGACTAGATTATTATCATCTTGTCACAGTGACACTATCAGTGTCTTGAAAGTAACACCATGCACGTCAAAACAGGATGTCATGTCAAAATGACAAAAAAGATGCCAAAGCAGCACAATATTTGTCTTGTCACGTATGTTTTCAAAGGGATTATCAACGTCATACGTTCAAACACGACGAAGTGACTGATCGTCTTTATAATCTATTTTGCATACAGCACTGTGTTATATGTACGTCTATTTATATACAGTTAGGCCTTTGACGGTCAACGATCACCAGTGGAGATTTGACTTACTCAGAAAGTCTCTTTTGTCATCCTCAGTGAGATCACCATGGAACACTGACCAAAACATCTTGACCACGAGATGGTTTGCTGTGTAGCCTTTCTCATCATAACCAAAGCTCTGTGCAGAGAAGAGCAAATTAAAACATGAAAATGAACAACAGCAACAACAAAAACAAAGAAAAGATAACTGATTTGTGCCACAAAAAATAAACCCAATATCAAATTTATTTCTCAAGAAACAAATTTAAAGGATACAGCGTGTATTATCTTTGTTTTAACTTCTTTAAATAAATTATCTTCTATTAAATCTAAAAGCACCTACTAACTTTGCATTATGTAAAAAAAAAAATCGCGATATTTTGTTTATTTTCTGCAACCATGTTGTCCGAAGTAGATTCATTTTCTACGTTTGTGATTTTTCTTGTTAGTGCGTTAATTAGAGAACTTTTTTCTTTAATGTTAAAGAAGAGGAGCTCACTTTTTGAAAGGCCTTCCAATCATATTCCCCTCCTTGGAATAATGACATCAGCTCTTGTGGTGTGAAACGTTGGTGAAGACCGAAACAACCGAACATGCTCCGAAAACTCTTACTGAATACCTTGAACTGGGAGGATGCTGTGTAGTGCCTGGCGTAAAGTTCAATATACTCTCGACTGGAATTCGTAAAATAAAAGAAAGAATTTCATTGAAAGCCAACCAGACTTCACGATTCACTTCATTTTCAGGTTTTGGTTGGAAACTAGGGTAAAGATAACGCATTCTTTATTAATAAGCATCTCTTTTATTTTTCAAAATTACTTCTCGGGATACCATAACAATATAGGGGTGGAAATCTCGAAATCGAGTGCCTAATTTAATACAAGAAAGGCACTTTTTAACTGTTAAAATTAAAGCTATAAACTCCAAATGGTAAGTGACATTTGTTTTGAAATGATGTTTTGCGTTAGTATGAAATCTATTATCTAATAATTCTAGAACTAGTATTCAGAAAGGAATTTAATGTAGATAATTTGTCATAAACAATGTAGGGATGTTTTCGTAATTACATTCCAAGACAAAGTGACCACAATGCATCTACTTCCTCGACCACATCGACCACATGTCCAATGTAGAAGTTTTAAAACACACAACGGTATAAATCTTTCTGACTGGATCGTACTATACTTACACATTTGCAGTGGTCACGACCTCGTCTTTCCCTCCTGGTTTAAGTTCGATCTCCGGTTCGTTCACCGGTCCATCCACTGTAAATCTGTAGTCGGAAAGGTCATCGTCACTCGCCTCTAGCAATGTTTCCATGCCCTTCGCCATCCCGGGATCTAGCAGTTTCAGATCTTCCAAACTGGATGGGCTGAATATTGTTAAAATAGAGTCGTATTATTCCTCTAGTCACCTGTTGCAACCAGCTACAGTTAATAACTAAATTATTCATACCCTTACCAATTTCTTAAATTGTTTAAATAAAACAATTGATTTCTCCCAATTTATGTTTCTTAGGAATGTGACATTAAAGCTTATATCTAAAATTATTCAACAAAGGCCCTAATTGAACCAGTCCACCTTTCATTCTTGAGTTACGAAAAAAAAAAAAAAACATTGAAATGCATACGAGATGGATAACTCTCTCTCTCTCTTTCACACTCTCTCTCTCTCTCTCTCTCTCTCTCTATGTTTCTCTCTCTCTCTCTCTCTCTCTTTCTCTCTATCTTTCTTTCTCTCTCTCTATCTCTCTTTCGCGTCCACCTCTCTCTCTCCCCCTTCTCTATTTATTAGCTAGCTCTTACATTCAATGTATTCCAGATATGTAATCATTCTTTGGACTGTCGATCACAAGGTCCGCGGTTCGAATCCCGTCGCGGCACTAATGTCCTTTGGCAAGACATTGATCTACATTTGCCACATTCCACCCAGGTGAAGTAAATAGAGACCTGTAGGAAGGAATTCCTTGAATGCTGCGAGCACCGAAATCGGTAGCCTAGCAGAGCCGGGGTAATATTGGAGCGTTTTGAGCACCTTGCAGGGTGGATATGTGCGCTATATAAATATCCAATATTATTATTATTATTATTGTTATTATTATTATTATCCAAGAGCTTGTGGAATTTGACAACGAGCTATCTGTCCAACAAACTCGGTATACAACTCGTAAGGTAATCGGAGAAACAAGTCGGGAAAGCCCGATCTCGCGTTAGTTCGCGAGGACTTACAATTATTTTGAAATGTTTTAAACAAAATGAAAATGTATCAATGAGCTCTCGAGTTCGAAATACAAATGAAAATGGTACGAATTGGGAACAAAATTTGCAAAAGAATGAAGGACTTTGTACCCCCTGGCCCCCAAATATTAGAGACACGTAACTTCCTTGCCTTTCTTCGATTCCAATATTTCCAAGCAGTTTCTTGTAGAAAAGAAATGGAAACGGCATTGTGACGATGACCTTATTGTAGAACATCAGAGCGAACAGCTTCCCGACTGCTCGCAATTTGTCCAGGTCCTTAGAATCCTATGATAAGTTTTAAATACAGAAGAATACAAACTTTAATTGCACGGTGTTTTGATCCGAATGAAAGGTGCACACTATTTCCAAATTGACAAGGCATATTTTTTCTTGGCCAACAAATATTATGTATATGGGGGGTGCAAAATATTGGTTAGTACTCATGGTAATAAAGGTTCTAACTTTCTGGTTATAAAGTCAAGACTTTGATCCCGTTGGGACACTAGCTTGCCTGCCTGAGTCTCGAACCCACTCACTGAAAACTGGGCCACAGGTCTTAATTACTCATGGTCGAGTAATCAGATTAGAAACCAATAAATTCATGAACAGACGACAATGTCGATAGATTTTCGAAAGTAACTCTGGGGGTGGGCAAGGAGGGCTTTTATATTCGGGGGGGGGGGTAAAAAAAAAGGCACTATTAGTGCATTGACATTGAAGATTAAATCAAGCAAAACATTTAATTTACATGTGGAAGTTTCTATACAGAAAACGTACTTTAAAGAGAGAGATTTAGAGGGAGGAGGGGGGGGGGGAGCAAATACTATTGTGTTCCCCTGCCAACCACCCATTGACGCCAGTAATAGCTATAATCAACTTACATTAACAATATATTGAGATTAGTAATAATGGGTAATCTAACTTCTGAGATGGAAATTTGATTTCGATAATGACCTTGTTAAACCACAATGTCGTACACGAAGGAGAATCATCGAGTTTCTTGAAGATGGAATGCTTCTCGACATTGAAGAGCTCTTCGAACAGTCGGGAAAAGAATTCCTTTACGAGAAATATAAAGGAAAATACACGTTTCAAACAAAACGAAACAAAACAAAGTAAAACAAAACCCCAAATGCACAAACAGAATCAAAGATCTGAAACAACTAATAATCAATACTGGTTTTCTTAAATTTAAAAATTTACGGTCCAGTATAGATTACAATATCGAAATTGAAATATCTTATTGTTAATTCAGGTTCTCCATTTCGAATCTTATATAGAAAAAGCAATATAACACACGTACAACTAATTTGAAATTACCAAGAGGGGTTCGGCAGAAGTTGTATCAAGCCTTGTTAAGTCTTATCATTTCCGAGGAAACCGGTTACAGAGCGGCTTGTAATTCTTTTGACCATCATAGTGTATAATATTATCCGGCTTTAGTAAATAATTGAGGCATTTTCAGCGTTGTTTTCTTCTCCAACGGCCTCGAAAACTTTGGCATAAGTCATTGAAATTAAGCATGTCTGCATTTTCTCTTTGAAGATAAAGTTATGTTTACACGATCGCAAATATTTTCGAAAATTAACTCTAGGTCAATTTCGATACCCTATTGTATGTCCAATATCAATAATGTTCAGATTACGTAATACGTCATAGTCATGTTCACACATTTAGATAGGTGACGCACGAGGCTATTGAAATTGCCTTCGGTTGATGTTTCGAAAGTAGCTGCCATCGTGTGAAATGGTGTTCATATTTACCTTCATGGGGCCACCAGCATTTACACCCAAAGACACGTTATCCTTGAAATAGACTTCGAACGGGAGCAAGAGAGACGTTTCATCTTTACCTTTAACCTTCGAGATAGCTGATTCAACAACCTTCTCTTTGTCGTCGTCAATTTCAAATTGAAGGTGTCCTATTTTCAGGTTTAATGCAGCTGTGATTATTACCAACATAATCCTTGATCCTATTCCGAAAGCTTCCTCGAATTTCAGTCGAATATCGTCCAATGTCCTATTGAAGTGAAGCTATATGATATCACAGGTAAAACAGAATTTGAAACGAAGTAAGCTTCCCAGCCTTGTACTGTCAATAATAATGGTAATGATAAATAACAGGTATTCTGTAAAGCAGGGCTCCTACTTAGACGAGTTGAATTAGCGAGTTATGGCGAGTTGTGGTGATAACTCGTGAAAGCTCTTCTTGTAACTCGGGATAACTCGCAACAATTCGGTATGGCTTAGCGTAACTCTTTACAACATTCCACGACTCTACTCGAAGTCGCGAGCAGTTCCAAAATTTTGAACATGTTTAAAATTTTCGCCGATTCGTTGTAATTCGAGGTGAACTCGCCTACACTCGTAGTCGTAATATACTCGCATTACTCGTAACAAGCTCGCACTGCACTCTTCATAACTCGTAGCAACTCACCACCTTATTAAGAGTGCAGCGCGAGCTTGTTACGAGTAATGCGAGTATATTACGAGTGTAAGCGAGTTCATCTCGAGTAACAACGAATTCATCTCGAGTTACAACGAATCAGTGAAAATTTTGAACATGTTCAAAATTTTGGAACTACTCGCGACTTCGAGGAGAGTCGTGGAATGTTGTAAAGAGTTACGCCGAGCCATACCGAGTTGTCGCGAGTTATCCCGAGTTACAAGAAGAGCTTTCGCGAGTTATTAGGGACTTTTGCGTTGACTGATACGTGTGACGTCCATTCAAGGCAGTGCATTAAAAGGACGTCGATCGTAGCAATCCACGTTGTCGTTGTGCAAATCTAAAAGTCCCTATTGCGAGTGCCTCTTTGAGGCAACTTACCACAACTCGCCTTAACTCGCCAATACAACTCGGCTAAATGGGAGCCCTGCTTAACGTTTTTATAATCCAAACAGAAATTGGCGATAGTTAGTCTATTTACTCAAGCACGAACGTTAAGCGATTTAGTATAGCCTAGTGTCTCAACAACACACACAAAAAACAATGAAAATGAATAAAAGAGAAAACAAAGGAAAATAGAGATAGATAAAAAATTATGTTTTAGGTTATCTGAAATTCAGATGCACTTAAATCCCAGGAGGAATTAGACCTCCCTGCATGGTCACTGACATGTTGTTATCTCATCAAATCAGCTCTCGATTAACATAAGAAAAGGGGGATCATTGGAGACCAACGGGTACCGCTTAGGCAGTGTCTGCTATATATAGAGGGCGCAAGTAGCTACTGCAAGTAGCAGTCCCGCTTAAACGACATTTTTAAAGGTAATACAAAGTTTTAGGAATTTTTGAAAATTGGGTGGATAGTGATTCTTTACAATTTTGATATATTTGGATGCCCCTATAGATGTATTATAAGCACTAGAAAAATTAGCCCCTGAAATACTTCTGCTTTCGAGAAATATTGAATATAAAAATTTACCGGTGCTCCCGGTAAATTTTGATAAATTTCAATTATCGCCTACTGCCGTACAATGGTAGCTGCGACCATGAAAATCTCAAAATAAGTAGATGTGATATATAATTTCCAAACGGGAATAGCTAATCGGTCGATTTTAGTCAAGAAACATCGTTGTATAGCTTAATTAATATCTTGACCTTGAGAGGGTGCTATACAACATTTTGAGTTTATTATTTACAATTTCATAACTTTAGACTCGATTTCAACTGCGACAACGTTCAGTAAATATTGTAGGATTGCCTATGCTTCCAATATGTTCATTTGAACCAAATTCATGACCCAATACCAAAACTTTGTATTACCTTTAAGTGGTGTAAGTTCATATTGGATTATTTTTCCACAAAGTAAGAAATAATGAAAACAATTCAAAAACTTAAAGCTCTAGCTACGTTCTGGTTTTGTTTTGATTAATAAAACAAATAATAAAAATCGTTGAGAGTTCACTTCTTCACTATGACCGGTTTCATTTTTGTTCCTTCAGATCAAGAAATAAAATTAAAACCGGTGATAGTGAAGAAGTAAAATCTCAAGGATTTTTATTTCAAATGCTTTAGTCATTGTATAGTCTCAATAACAAACTGGAAAATGATATTTGCATGACTCATTAACTGAAATTGAAATCTCCTCTTTTATTCGCCTTTTCATAAAGACATATTAAATAAATTAGTTCATGGTTATGAGAAGTAGCGTAATATACAGATAGTGACCATTGTAGGGAATTTCTTAAATTCACTCAATTTAGTTTTCATTTATCGAGAAATCAAGAAGAAATTTACTGCTTTCTCGACTTGATCATGTCAATGAAGAGAACCTTAAACATACCTGACATGCATAGTCAAAGTCCATACACAGCGTTTTCCACTTCAGATGTACATCCAGTAGAAAAAGCAGGACACCTAATGGAAGGAGACCCTGAATAAAAGTAGAACAAATGTAGAACAATATTTACAATTACATAAGCGGACAAGAAGAAAAAAATCAATGACGGGAGTCAATATAATCTCAAATCCAAGGGTGAGATCAGATGATTCGGAATTACCTGTTTTTGGTTAAAAATCATCACAAACCTATCATTATATGTTTCTTTATTAGAATCTAGAATGAAATGTTACATTTTCAACTAGATCTTGATACAGACGATAATATATTTAAATCAAGTAGTAACCACATTTATTAACACATGTATTTATCTTCTTGTTTAAAGTAAAAGAGTTGATAGTGGTCTTTGTTTATCAAGATATATTGAGTAGTTTAAATACTGTATTGCCTTCAAGTGCCTTCATCATATAAACAATAACTAATTCATTAATTGTTTCCTTCTTTTCATAATAAGTACCTATTCAGGAGGGATGGGAGGGAGGCATCCAACGAAAATTTACCGACATATATAAAAATGTATGTCTTAACAGTTTTAACTAGGTTGACTATCCGTCGTCAGGAGTGAGGACGGATAGTCAACCTATTGGAAACGTTGAGCCTCTCCTATACCACCTTGTCCACCTATCCTCTCCTACCGGCGTTAAAGTTCTCTTTAGAACTATATTAGCTCAAGAAAGCTTTCTCAGGACTACCATGAGTCCTTTTCATATGGTGGCCCTGAAGGGACATCGCGAATAGACTAAATCGTGAAAAATATGCGATAAAATTCACGATATCGTCAATTTTATCGCATATTTTTCACGAAGAAATTCACGAAATTGACGATATCGTGAACTTTATCGTGAACTTTTCACGATGAAATTGACGATATCGTGAATTTTATCGTGAAAAGTTCACGATATAAAGTTCACGATATCGTCAATTTTATCGTGTACTCTATCGTGTACTCTATCGTGTACTCTCCTGACGGGCGCTTCGTAAACAAAACCAGCCCTAGCTGGGGGAGACAGAGAGAAGGAAAAAAGGGAAAGGGAAAGAGAAGATAAAAGGAAAGAAAGACTAATAAGAAGAAAAGAGGGAAACGGGGGGGGGGGCGAAGGGCTCTTGCCTCCTCCTCACTCCCCGCCAAAAAATAAATCAGAGAGAGAGAGAGAAGGGAAAGGGAAAGGGAAAGAGAAGATAAAAGGAAAGAAAGAAGAGGAAGAAGAGAAGAGGAAAACGGGGGAAGGGCGAAGGACTCTTGCCCCCCCCCTTCCCCCCCCCCCGCCAAAAAATAAATCAGAGAGAGAGAGAGAGAAGGGAAAGGGAAAGGGAAAGAGAAGATAAAAGGAAAGAAAGAAGAGGAAGAAGAAGAAAAGAGGGAAACGGGGGCAAAGGGCTTTTGCCTCGTCCCCCGCCCCCCGCCAAAAAATAAATAAGAGAGAGAGAGAGAGAGAGAAGAAAAGGGAAAGAGAAGAAAGAAAGAGAAAAACGAAAAAGAGGGAGAATAGGAAAGAAAGGAAAAGAAAGAAAAGAAAGGAGGCAATAGCCCTTCGCCCCTGTTTCCCTCTTTTCTTATTCTTTTTCCTCTTCTTTCTTTCCTTTTATATTTTCTTTCCCTCTCCCTTCTCTTTCCCTTTATGGCGGGAGGGGGGAGGGGGAGGTAAGAGCCTTTCGCCCTTCCCCCGTTTCCCTCTTTCCGTCTTCTTCTTCTTTCTTTCCTTTTATATTTTCTTTCCCTTTCCCTTTCCCTTCTCTCTATCTCTCTCTCTCTCCTATTTATTTGTTGGCGCGGGAGGGGGGGGGAGGAGGCAAGAGCCCCTCTTTTCTTCTTATTCTTCTTCCTTTCCTTTTTTATTCTCTTTCCCTTTCCCTTCTCTCTCTCTCTCTCTTATTTATTTTTTGGGCGGGGGGATGCAAGAGCCCTTCGCCCCCGTTTCCCTCTTTTCTTCTTCTTCTTCCTCTTCTTTCTTTCCTTTTATCTTCTCTTTCCCTTTCCCTTTCCCTTCTCTCTCTATCTCTTATTTATTTTTTTGGCGGGGGATGGGGAGGGAGGAGGCAAGAGCCCTTCGCCCTTCCCCCGTTTCCCTCTTTCCTTCTTATTCCTCTTCTTTCTTTCCTTTTATATTTTCTTTCCCTTTCCCTTCTCTCTCTTATTTATTTTTTTGGCGGGGGGAGGGGGTAAGAGCCTTTCGCCCTTCCCCTGTTTCCCTTTTTCCTTCTTCCTCTTCTTTCTTTCCTTTTATCTTCTCTTTCCCTTTCCCTTTTTTCCTTCTCTCTGTCTCCCCCAGCTAGGGCTGGTTTGTTTACGAAGCGCCCGTCAGGAGAGTACACGATAGAGTACACGATAGAGTACACGATAAAATTGACGATATCGTGAACTTTATATCGTGAACTTTTCACGATAAAATTCACGATATCGTCAATTTCATCGTGAAAAGTTCACGATAAAGTTCACGATATCGTCAATTTCGTGAATTTCTTCGTGAAAAATATGCGATAAAATTGACGATATCGTGAATTTTATCGCATATTTTTCACGATTTAGTCTATTCGCGATGTCCCTTCAGGGCCACCATATTTTCAGGACTACTACACGTACACGAGAAAGATTACCAACAGTCCTTTTCTAATCCTCCTCCTCTCACATGGTTCAACCGTAAGCCTTCTGTATAATTTCATGATTGTTTTTTGTAGTGCAGTGTAATGTTTTCGAGAAAATATGAAGCATAAGAAGACTGAATAAATACCAGGAGAGGGGGTTGCAAATGCTGTTGATGATTCCCAAGAAGATGATTCTCGATCTTCCTATTTGTTTCTTCATCTCCTGGTTGAAGGATGTAAAACTGATTCACTGGAACCTTGTACCCATGCGATTTGTTGACCTGTATGTGAAATAATCCATGAACTTATTTCAATCTCATTGCATCATTATTATAGTGAGACAATATTACAGTGAGCAGGTCCACAGACACGTATTTAAAGGGAAATCCTACCTTGATAGCAAACTACTCTCGAGGAAAGCCGAAAAATAGAGAAGTATATGACTAGTGAAAGTTTGAATGAAATCTGACCAAAATAAGAAAGTTATGAATTGTTGAAAGTTCTAATCACTACAGACATGTGCTCTTTAAATTGGCTAAATCTGTAATGTCTCGTGGATGGAGTGGGACAAGTTTCCCTTTTGTTCAAACACACAAAATTACTAAAATTTCAATTTTTCAAAAATGTATGATTCAGGAGGGTCTATCCTCAAACCCCGTGTCCACACCCAACATGTTCCGTGATTATAGGCGTGATTAGTTATACCGTTTCGGGATAGTTATACTGTTTCGCGATAGTTATACGATGAAATTGTTTGTGTGGACGCTTACTAACTATACGTCGTATAACAAAACTTCGTATAACGAAACGATGCCCAAACATGCGTTTCGTTATACGACGTATATATAATCACGCCTAATCACGCCTAATCACGGAATATGTTGTGTGTGGACGTAACTTGTATAACTAGTCGAACTAGAACGGTATAACTGGGCGGGGCTTAACGTGACCTCGAGCGAAAGGAGACCTGACCTCTCATTTCCGCTTCCGTTTCATGATCGCAGCATAGCAAACTGCGCACCTATACGACATTTCGCTGTAGAGTTTCAGGATTACTTTCGTGTGTGTGTGGACATCCTGGAATTTATACGATGATTATTTATACGACATTTCTTGTGTGTGGACACCCTGAAATGTATACGATGATTCTTTATACGACGTTTCGTTATAGAGTTTCGGGATAAATTGTTTTGTGTGTGGACACGCTGTTAGAGGACTTATGATAATATGCTAACCATAATATATTTTGAATAGTTTCCCAAGGGAGAAGGCACTAGGAGAATAATTTATATTGTGTACACGACCAACAGAAGAGGTATCCGTGACTACGTCACAATCCACTGACTGAGATACGCATAGACTTGGTGATCTCATATTTCAAACATTCATAATTTTCTTATTATTGTTCCGATTAATATCAATTTTCGCCATTATATTTATCTTAACTTTATTCTTACATACAAATCAATTTTTTTTGCACTGGATGTGCAACAATAAATCTCAAGAGGGTAAAAGTAAAGGTTGCTGACCGGAACAGTTCAAGGTAAATTTGTCAACCTATCCCCAACATAAAGTATGCCTCAGATTATCACTTTGCTACTTTGTTACGTTCTGTTGCTATAGGTCTAGTGTCTACATCACTGTTTCACAGTTATGAATATTCAAATTGCTATAATATGTCACATGAAAAGTCAGAAATACAGAACGACCAATATCAGTTTTAAATTGAAAACTAAATCATTTCCATTTCCCAAACATACGAACCTGTCTCAAGAGTAGCAATACCGCTAAGTATGGGTTATTATGTGGTATCGACACCTTTTTGTCCAGACAACACTTCAGCTCATTCCTGAATGCCTGTACGTAGACCTTAATCACTCTGGCTAAAAGATCCGAGTCATCACCCCACCAACGAACTGTCAGGCGAAAATAAAATATAGTTTATATGGTCCAATAGTCTACGTTATCAAGACGCATTCTATGCTTTAAAGTAGTCTAAAATCAACCAGTTGTAGTCAATAATTAAATAAGTTTTTATTTAATTCACGACTGAGAAATGTATTTGATCGTAACGTAATGACTCCCATATACTTGCAAATAGTAGACCTCTACGACCTAATATTTTGAATTGACCGTAATAATGTAATGTTATAAAATCGAGATGTTTGAACGACAGGAGTGGGTCCGATGCCCTGGCCTGAGATAATAACAGGGAACATTATATGCTTCAAGTCACTTTTGATTTTGTTTTTACCTAGCACTTCGAAGTTCCTCTTTGCTGCTTCATACATCAAGATCAATGTTTCTGCCATTTCTCTGATGATTCGATCACCCCACTTTGTATCCGTTGTATCCGTTGTATCCGGCCTGTCAAAGGCTGGACACTCGAGTAGGATCGGAACTACTCGGAGAAGATCGGGTTCGATTCCATCCTTGCGTAAGTCTGAACGCATGTCACTCATGTGCCGGAAGATTACTTCTGCCACCTGCATCAAACATGAGCCAAACGATAAGCAAGAATGGGATGAATAGTTTTAAAAGAATGGACAATATGCAGAGAGGTGTAGACACGACTTCAGAATACGAAAAAAGTTAGACACGACTTCGTGTCTAAAGTTAGACGGGACTTAGACAGGACTTAGACAACTGTTTAGTTTAGACACGACTTCAGAATACGGGCCACAGAGTTTGGCCAACCCGATTCGAGTTGGGCAAACTCTCTGCATAGATGGCTCTGGGGGGGGGGGGGGGTGGAGTAGGAAGGAGTCTCTTGTGCATTAGGAATGCTTGATTCAATCAGTATACTATATGGTAGAGTATTAAATTAAATTAAAAATGATTTATTAAAAATCATACAAAGCAGCCCGTAAGCTGAATTGCATATCGATTCACAATAAAATAGCAGTAAAATTTGAACTTACAAAAGAATACCTTAATCTTAACAATTTAAAAGCAACATAGTTCCAGACAGTACATTATAAGATGAATCATCCTCGGGGTGTTGTTATGCAACACTGAATGAAGGAGAAGAGAGAGAGAGAGAGAGAGAGAGAGAGAGAGAGGATGGAGAGAAAGAGAGAGAACGATGAGCGCATTAAGAGAAAGAGGGAAAGAGAGAGATATACAGTGCGTCCTAGAAAAAACGAAACCGAGAATTATCAATGTTTTATCATAACTTAATCACATTTATAATTACTAAATGACACATAATATTTGGAAAGCTTAGATCCTCCTCCTCCTTTTTAAAAAAAAAGGCATGCATGAAGTCTTTCGCTTACGGCTGATTGTCAACGAAATGGAGTTAAGTCTTTTGTCAACTGTGTTTGTTGCTACGGCAGGCACCCAGTGTGAAAACGAATTCGTTTGATAAAATTATGGAAATGCAAGCACTACTTTAAACAAACAGAACTTTGTTATTCCTAACCCATTTTTCCTGATTGAGGTGTCATTATGAAAGAGCAGAACCTCAACTTTCTAGTAATGTGATTTTCTCTTTGAAATTCGGATACCGTCCGCCAAATGACTTTTTGGTTTCCTCTCTTCAAGTTCATTTTAATCACTCATGCGTGAAATATGCATCATTATGAGTTGCATTAAATGAAAGAAGAGGATCTAAGCTTTCCAAATATGTGTCATTTAGTAATTATGCATGTGACTAAGTTATGATAAAACATCGATAATTCTCGGTTTCGTTTTTTCTGGGACGCACTGTATATATATATATATATATATATATATATATATATATTAGAGAGTGCGATGAAAAAATGAGAGAGAAAAGGAAAGTTTCAACAGGACCTACATTTAATACATTATAACGACAGAAAGTAACTTACATGAAGACATGGATTGAATGGCATAATTAAACTGCAAAATGAAAGGAGACACATAATTATTTAAATCTTTTTAAATGAAAAGAGGGCGACCAGCCGAGAATCATCGAGTACAAAAATGATCAGTAAAACATGACGATTAACAAAATATTACAATCGATATTTGGCGGTTAGAGGGGAAAAGGGGAGTGAGGAAAGAAGAGAGAAAGAGACACTGATAATCAGAGAGAGAGAGAAAGAGAGAGCGATGAAAGAGTGAGGGAGGAAGAGAGAGATGAAAGGATAAGAGAGAGAGAGAGAGAGAGAGAGAGAGCGAAATAGATGTGGTGGATCTCCAACTGGCAATAATGTGCGATGTCATGTACGCGTAACGCATGTCACAAAATACAAAGATGACTCCTATTAGATTCGTGCACAAAATTACTCGAAGTGTCGATTTTGTTCGTGATTTTTAAATAATGGAACAGATAGTTATTAACAAGTAAAGCATATCGCCCATAACAACTTAAGAACATAATTATGGCTATCCCATCATGAATTCGAAAATGAAATTCTTATATTTTGTGTAGAAATATTTTACAGTTCTCCTTGTCGGGGCCTTCGTGTTACACATCAGAAACAAATTTATTGACAAAAAGAAAGTTATCAATCTCAAATGTCAATTTTCATGACTTTCTTCTATCTTTGATAGCCTATCTCAAATATACTCCTCCCCGACCCCGTATTTGTCTGATTCCACTAAAGCCAACTTTTTACGAAGGGGTACCAATTAGTTCACGTGGAAGAGAGACAGACAGAGAGAGAGAGAGAGAGGGGGGGGGGGGGGGGGGAGAAAGATAGGATACACAAAAGGGGACATTATTTTTGCCAAACACATAAAGAAGCGAATGGAGAAAAAAAAAAAAAAGCAAAACAAAACAAATAGGGAAATAAAAACATGCCCATTAAATCTTTGTGCTCAGAGGCAGCGCTCCTGGAGGTCAGGGGCACAGTGCCCCCTCACTTTTTAAAATACCCCTAAAGTGCCCCTTTTTACATACAAAAATACACCCCTTTTCCGTTTTGAAAACGTACTTGGACATGGTGAATAGAAGCAGAAATATAAGAAAAAAATAAAGAAGGAATGAATGTTTTAGATATCTATGTTTTAACTGAGAAATCTCCATCGTACCTCAACACTAAAATTCCCCCCTTTCTCAATGTCATAATGAAAGTGGTCACCGATAATGCTTGAAGGAAAAATTTTGTTTTGTTATTAAAGTGGAAAAAAATATAAAAATTTAAATAATATTTTGTTAACAGCGAACTGAACAGATATTTAGCATAACAAATCATGACCGAATTGCCGAGTTGTAATATGATATTTGACACTTTGATTTTTTATTTCAGAAATGTTGACTAAACTCAGTCAAACAAAAATTACTATATGCTTGACTTTAACAATGTCCTGCGATCACAATGAATCAATTAGAGAGTGACTCCATAAAGAACAGTCATTTTATGCATAATATTAATGTTATTCCCAGAAGATGACGTTTGCAATCATAAAATAAAATAAAATAAAAAAGAGAGTTCTGCATACATGAATGTTACAAACTAAAAGTGTTGTCGATTGATTGATTGATTGATTGATTGATTGATTGATTTTATTCGTCAAGTATAGTACATTGAATGCTTACATAGAGCAAAATGAAACGAGAAGATACATTGACAGGATAACCCATGAAAGCCGGAAAAGGCTTATTTCCAACGGGGTCCTATAAAGTACGTGTACAGTACGGCATGAGAATAAAATATCACAACTAATAACTACTACGAATATTACGAATAAATAATATAACATAAACAACAACAAAAATTTCTAGAACTTATAGCAAACAATGATCTACGGTATATTATGCAAGATTAAACTTAAAAACATGCGCTACACATAATGAACTGTGATTTAAGATAACTGATATTACTGTTCTTGAAGGGATTCATGCTTTAGGTATTGTTTTAATACACTTTTAAAGTGTAAAAAATTCTTAACTATTTTGACATGTTTTGGGAGAGAATTCCAAAATTGGATACCATTAAAATAAAAAGAGTTTCCAATTTGTCCTTTTCGCTTGGGTAAAACAAAATTAAAATGACTATTTCTTGTATCGTATCCATGGATATTTGAGACACGAGTAAAATTATTAGTAATATAATGATCTACATCTGAGTAGTATATTTTATGGACATGGTGTAACACGAGTTGTTTAGACCTTTGACCTACATAGAGTATACCTGCTTCTTCAAGTTCATTTTTCCCGACGTGTGTTCTTGGGCCTAAGCAATTAATAAATCTTACCATCTTATTCTGAATTATTCTTAACTTTTTCTTATCCATCTTGCCCAGACTACTGTACCAAGCAGCATTAGCATAATCAAATAAACATTGTATCAAAGCAAAACACAAAATACGTCTCGACTTCATGTTCATACAAGTTTGGTATCTATACAAAAATTTTAAGCGAGAATTAGCCTTTTTGGCAATTGAATCTACCAAACCTGTCCATGACAGATCACTAGTTAAATTTATTCCTAAATATTTTACTAAATCTTTACTCTCAATCACTTGATTATTATAGGTAACCTTGAAGTCACGTGTATATTTAAACTTTCCCTTCGAACAAAATAAAATACTTTCTGTTTTTCCAACATGTAAACTAAGCTTGTTGTCTGTCATCCATTCGATGCATTTTGCCAATTCTGCACTTAGTTTTTCTTCAATTGACTTAGGATTTGTATCTGAATATAGTAACACACTATCGTCAGCATATAAAAGTAATTTAGAATCATTAACACAAGTACACATATCAATAATATAACACATAAAGAGAATGGGGCCTAAAATGCTCCCTTGTGGAACCCCGCATTTAATAGGCTGGGAATCAGATATTACCTTCTGCATAGTTACCACTTGATGGCGATTAGTTAAATATGATCTAAACCATTTAACACATGCCGAATCCAAACCCATCACTTCCAATTTCTTTAACAGTATGTTATGATTGACAGTATCAAAGGCTTTTTGTAAGT